TGAGCCACCCAGGTGTCCCAACAAAATATAACTTCTAACAACTTTTCAAAACTTAAAAATATTGTAACTTTCTTGTTGATGAGAATCTGAAAAAATAAACACCCTCATGCTTGCTGAAAATAAGAGACATTAGTACAATTATTTTTGTAGGACAATTTAGAACTATCTTCCAAGATAGTATTTAACAACTCAGCAAACTTTAGTTCTGAAAATTCATCCTAAAGAAATTCTTCTGGGGCACCTGCGTGGCTCAGTCAGTTAAGTGTCTGAGGACTCTTGATTTCCACTCAGGTCATGATCTCACAGTTAATGAGTTTGAGCCCCTTGCTGGGCTCTATGCTGACAACATGGAGCCTACTTGGGATTTTCTCTTTCTCTCTCTCTCTTTCTCTGTCAGTCTCTCTCTCTCTGCCCCTCCCCCCAACTTGCATTTTCTCTCTCTCAAAATAAATAAATGAACTTAAAAACAGAAATAATTTTTATGTGCATAGAAGTACACACACACATACACATACATACACAGCATGATTAATAGAGGATTATTTGTAGAAGCAAAAAATAAAAATGGAAAACAAATGGAAAGGAGCTAACTGGCCATGAAGAACACAGTACTGTGGAATACCCTTAGTCACTAAAATGAACGGTGTAGATCTATATGATCTAACTTGAACAAATATCCAGAATATATTCCTGTAGAAAAAAAGTTCATATTAAAAAACATGGGTGGCTTCAATCCATCTATCCAAAAAAAAAAAAAATTTTGTTTCTATGTGTTTGTGTAACTGTAGAAAACTTCTAGAAGGCTATACTCCACAGTTACTTCTAGGAGAAGGGATTTGGAATCGAAAGAGACAACTGTTATTTTCTATTTCCTACACTCAGTTCTTTTGAATTTGTTGAAACAAGCATATATACTTTCATGACTTAAAAAATAAAGATGTAAAGAAATTATGTGTTTTTGTATCTGACTCTTGCACTCCTGAGAAGAAGGGGTCTTCTGCAGGGTCAGCAGTAGTGTGCTGGTGAATCAGCTGGGTCAGGGGTCTGGGGTCAGGAGAGTGGGGAAGGGGGCCTTAATTTGTAGTGTTTGTCAATTTCCATTGTATCACTAACCCCACTATGTTTAATTTCAAGCGGTTCACACAATTCTGGAATATTTAACATAATGGGTGCTCAATAAATCAATTTTTAAAATCAGGTGTGGAACAGAACTGAACTGCCAAGGTCCTGAATAAATAAACAAGTGAAGTCAGACTTCTGTTCCAGTGGAATGGAAGCATCCCTGCTGGCTGGGGCAGGGCTCCGCCCGGTTCATTCATAGTACATCCATGTCTCTCCCCAGCTCACCACTAAGAATTCACAGTTCAAGTCTTCTTAGGCTGGCGTGGTCTCATTACAGTTTTGCAAGGTCAGTTTTCTTCACCAATTCTCTAAATGAAGCTCCACTCTTTAGAAATAGGTTAGGTGGTAGTGGAGACTCCGCCGGGAAGGATTCCTTATTCATTTCAAGCCCAGGCACCTCCAGGTAATGGAATTCTGCAGATGGTGCATGGAGGGAGAGAATCTGGGTGAACTTTCAGGCTTTACAAAAATATTTCTCCAGATGGGAAGACACAAGAGCTGCAGCATAGCTTCATTTCCAGGTGCTTCTCTCCATGGCAACAATTAACAAGGCACCTGGCCATTCACCCAGCTGAGAACTGAGACCAGTGTCTGCCCCTAATTCGTTCCCAGTCTAATGGCACAAGAATCAGAGTAATATCATTGGGTAAGTGCTGTGATGGCTAGGCCCACTACAAGCATTTGCAGAGACTACAAAATCTGCCTTCCTTCCCTCCTCACCCCAGGCTCTATCCTACACATTAAGGATTCAATGCCAATGTGTCTAAACTGGATCCACCATCACCCTCATCCCAAGTAGCTGACCTTGGGCCATTTTTTAGAACCAGGGGTGCTAATCCATCTATCCTCTGTAAAAAGAATCTGGGGAAGATGTTCTGTAGGCAAATGGACATGGGCTAAGGCCATTTGGGATAGAAATTTCACGGTTCTGGCTATTCAGAGAATGATCTAGAAATAGGGCCAAGACTCTTCACTTCATGGAAGGAGGACACGTGAAAGGAATCCTCAAGAGCATAGGACCCAAGGCAAGACTCCTCATTTGCCTGGGAAGTCCTGGTAATGGGAATAGTATACGGGGCTAAGGGAAGACCTAGCCCACTCTTGGCCGATAAGGGAAGGCTTCCTGGAGGAGACCAGCCTAACCTGAGCCTTGACATACGCATAACGTTTAGCCAACAGAAAATAGGGTGGGGGACTCCATGTGGACCGACAATGTGTGATGGGACATTAAGACCTGAGAAGTACTCACAAGAGCTGATGTTAAATTGTTCATGAGGGTCAGTGACTTTGTGTTTCCCCAAATCAGAGAGATGCTGTTGTCCTTCACCCCCCAAACTGTAGGAGCAGAGGGTGGCAATTTAGTTGGATCCACCCACAGAAGAGGGATTACGAATTCTCTAAATGGAGCCCAAATTCTGACGCAAGGGATGATGATTGACTCTATTTGCCGCGCAGACCAGGGGTTTGACAGGAGCCTCTCAACCTTGCCCCTAACCCATCCCCATCTGTTTCCTCTCCCCCGTTCCTCCTCCACTGTTCAGAGAAGACTGCAAAAGGAATTAGTGCCAAGGTGTCAACTGGGGGCAATGAGTTAGCAGATAACCCATTTGCATTTTTATGGGGCCCTTTGAGGCCTTAATTTAACTTGAAAGTGTGATTAAGGAGGGAATTTTCAGAATACAATAGTCCCCCCCTTATTTGCAGGGGTTATGCTCCAAGACCCCTACTGGATGCCTCAGACCACAGCTAGTACTGAACCCCTTACAGACTGTGTATTTTCAGATACATCCATACTTATGGTAAAGTTTATAAATTAGACACAGTGAGTGATTAACCATAATAAAATAGAACAATTATAACAATATACTGTAATGGAAGTTAATGCGACTACGATCTCTCTCTCACTCTCTCCTTCTCTCCCTAAATACCTTATTGTGCTATACTCACTCTTCTTGTGAGATGTGAGTTGATAAAATGCCAATGGAACGAGATGAAGTGAGTTGAGCACGCATTGCAATATAACATTAAGACTACCGCTGACCTTCTGGCCACATACAGAAGGAAGGTCAACTGCTTTTGGACCTTGGCTTACCCTGGGTAACTGAAACTGGGGGGGAAATAAAACCGAGGATAAGGGGGAACTATTGTAAAATCAGGACCCTTGTAAAAATCGGGAAGGCCTTTCAGTGTCTATGAGGGAAAGCCTCCTACCTCCTGGTCATTCTTTAATACTTAGGTGAGGAATTGGCAAACTTTTTCTGTAAAAGGGCCAGAGAGCAAATAGTTTAGGTATTGTGGGCTATGTGGTTTCTGTTGCAAATACTCAGCTCTGCTGTTGTAAGGCAAAAGTAGTCATTAACAAAATGCATTTGGATAAGCAAATGAGTGACTGAGCATGTGTCTGTGTTCCAATTAAACAAAATCAGGCAGCAGTCCGGACTTTGCTGTCACCTGCTATATTTTAATTTGCTCTCCCTTCCTCTTTCCTTTCTCCTCCTTTTAGAGAAGATAGCTCTGCTCCTTAGGTGAAATATTACAAATATCCCTTGAAATTCTGCCAAGGGGAATTATCATTGATTGCCATGATCGACTTTGGTAAGTCCAATGCTTGTGGTCACATGGGACTTTCCATGATATCCAGATATCTTATGTCCACTTTTGCTTCCTTATTTCTGAAAGGCAATCAGATACATTGTTTTACACTCAGGTGCCCATTTCTAGCCCTATCACTTGGTAAAGATAGCATAGTTTAGTGGTTAAAAACAGATAGGGGGCTCCGAAGTTAGACCAGTATGAGTTGTATTAGTCAAGATAGGCCAGTTATGCTACAGTAACAAATAAACAATAGCAGAATTGAGTTTTTGCAACAGAGAGCGCATGGCCCACCAATGAACAAATTTCAATGTAAAACAAAAGATTACCTTCTTGCTTATGTTATGTATTTGAGTGGGTGACTCTGCTCCACACAGTTACTCAGGGACCCATGCTGATAGAGCCTCTGCTCTATGGAACACCCTTAGAGAATATAAAAGAAAGAATATGCAGTAAGAGAATATGGAAACTTCACATACGCTCTTCACATACACCCAGCAGTGACACACATTACTTCTGCCTATAGCCCACTGTCACATGCAGCCTGTGAGTAGTCACATGTCCACAACTAACCAACCCTGAGAGATATCAGAGAGCAGGTGCAAGGTTTAATGAGCACTCTAATCTCTGCCACATGAGGCCTTACCAGTGAATAGCTACAGGAACTTGGACAAGGTACTGAAATATTCTGTAGCTCATTATCTTCCAAGGTAAAGCAGGAATTACAATAGACTCTGACTCAATTGTTGTGCTCATATAAAATGAAAGTTTGCCTTTAAATTACAGTACCAGGCACAGAGTGAGCATACAGCAAAAATCAGTTATTATTTTTATTATTACTAACTATATGATTAAGAGAAAAATGCCTTGTCCCTCCGGGTCTGTGTTCCCTCTTCTGCATATCAGGCATGTCAATAACACTGATTAGAAGAGTAAATAAATTAAATGGCACAATACATAAAAATATCTTAGCACTGTGCCTGACACACACTAAACACTTAATGAAACTTATTTCCCCCTGCTGTATGCAAACACGAATTGATAATTCTTTCTGGTTCTGGTTGTGAAGGGCTTATTTGTGGTTTAATGGGCCACCATAGTGTTTTAGAGACTGACCAATGGAAACTCAAATGTCGAGCACTTCAAAACAAAAGTGATTTCAGAGACTCTCTACAGAGGCAACTTAACACCCAGAGATAGGGTTCTAGAATGTGCTCTATGGTTCTTTCGGTTGCTTAGTTATGTGTGGAACTACATTTCCCAGAACCTCTTTTCAAGTTGCCAAAAGTGAAGTTGCCGGGGAAATGGACGTGGAAGTGAAGCAGCAGCCATTGTACTCTGAAGTTCAGTGTTGGTAAGAGGTGTTAAGAGAGGGATACTGAAGTTCTCTTGGGTTCCAGTTCATCCTTGAACTTCTTTGCTACCCATCTGGCTTTCCTTTAGTACCACCGGTGCTGATAAGCAACAGTGAGCTCACTGCCACTGGTTGCTTACGAGATGAGGGTCACTGAAAGCCGACGACCTTCATGAGGTTCTGCATCACCTCTCTGGTGGCTTCACCCCAGCAGCTGGGTGAGTGTGTGCCGGATTTTCCTGAAAACTCTCACTTATTCACCCGACACCGGGCTCTGTGATGTGTCCCCTCAAGATTTATATGGTGAATTCCTAACTCCCAGCATCTCAGAATATTTGGGGACAGGGCCTTGAAAGAGGTTATTAAGGTAAAATGAGGTTATATAAAATGAGGTCATGATCTTATCTAACTGGTATCCTAATAAGAGGAGGAGGTTAGGACACAGACACACAGGGAGGTGAATGTGGAGACAATGTAAGATGTAAGATGGCCGTCTACAAGCCAAGGACAGAGACCTTGGAGGAGACCATCGCTACCGACACCTTCATCTTAGACTTCTAACCCCCAGCATTGTGAGAAAATAAATTTCTGTTGTTTAAGCCTTACTGTAAGAATATAGCATATGATACATAGAACATAAACGTGTTAATTGGCTATTTATGCTATTGGTATGGCTCTGCTCAACAGTAGTTGAGCTTAACAGCAGTTAAGATTTGGGAGGGTCAGAAGTTATATGTGAATTTTCAACTGTGCAGGGGCTTATGCTGTCCTTAACCCCCCATTGTCCAATAGTCAATTGTAATCTGTTACAGAAATAGAGAAGTAATACACTGTCTCAAAGAATACTGTCCTCAAAATATATCTCATTTCATCAACAACATGGTTAATAATCATTTGTATTACACATCAAATGCTAATACCTATGGGTCTTATACTGAACACTTATTTAATCCTCGTAACCACCTTATTTGACAAATGATGGAATTGGGTTTACACAATTATTTGTCTTCTTTTTCAAATGAGGAAACTGAGGCGTGAAAAGCCAGCAGACTTGTTCAATTGACTAGCTAGTTGGCAATGCAGTCAAGACTTGCTCTACATCTCCAGAATCCCAGATTTGGGTTCCTCTCATGGCTACCCTCTTATGTCTCTCTGGAAGATCTTACCAAGACTTCATAATGCTGTTGGTTTCCTGAAAACGGACGGGAACCAGGCCTGGGGCCGTGAACACACCTTCCCTCATTGTACCGACTGACCGTGATGATGCTTGCTCTGTAGCTTCCTACAGAAGGGGCGCAGCCTTCCCTGGAGAGGTGAGGGAATCCACCTAGTCACAGTTCGTGTGTTGACATGCCTCCTGCCCAGGTAACTGCAGTTGAAGGGCCCACAATTCCTTCCCCATCTGTGCACTCCAATTTCCCTCCTGGCTTCTCCGTGTTCTGCTGGGGGAGGGGGATGGGATTGCTTTAAGAGCGATTTCATAGTTTATTCAAAAATCCATACTGCTCTTCAGTGCAGGGTACATTGAAGACAATAATTAGCTCAAAGATTATAGATCTTTTTATGAAAACCAGTTGCTTTTGGTTTTCAGAGCTACCTCTAGTTTCTTGAAGATCTTCTATGTATAAACCCTGGTCTGGCTGGAATTTCGTGCTGGTATAGTTTTTACTTGCTTTTAGGGCAAACAGTTACATTTTGCTTGTGTGATAAGCCAGTTAATTCCTATTAGTAAACCTCCTTGACCACAAAATGTCTAATTAATCAAAACATGCTGTTCTTACAGCCTATAGTATGTAGTATAGGAGAATGGAGACCATTTTAGTTTTAGACTTCTATCCCTTTCACTTGCTAGGGGATCCACAAAGCTTTGTTGTTTTATTTCAGATCATAAATACAATACAGAGTTGGCTGACATACAACTACTTCATAAATACATACTACTTGGAACTTGGAATACTTGGAAGACAATGGAATTTCTCCAATCTCATACCAAAGAGATTATCGCTATACACAATTCAGAGCATATGCATTCAATTTTGTTTTTCTGTACATATGCTAAAGTAGTTTATTTTCATTTTTTGGGGCACCTGGGTGGCTCAGTTAAGTAGCTGACTCCTGATTTTGTCTCTGATTATGATCTCACAGTTTGTGAGTTCAAGCCCCACATTGGGCTACATGCTGGCAGCGCAGAACCTGCTTAGGATTCTCTCCCTCTTCCTCTTTCTCTACTTCTCCTCTACCTGTACTCCCTCTCTCTCAAAATAAGTAAATAAACTTAAAAAAAAAAAAAGAACATGAAACTTGGGTTTGTATTAAACATATTAGTCTCCCCAATTTTTTTCTTTCAGCAATTTGTCTTGGAAATATTACATCTTAGATGTTTCTACATTAGTATGTATACATTCTCATCCTTTTGAACAGTTATTGATATACCCTAATAATAGAATGTTCAAGGATGTTTGATTTGCTCCCTTTCTGTTTTCAATGACAATCTGAGTAGAAATGGCCATTCTTATATGTGTTTCTTGCACATTCATGACTCTTTCTGAAGGATAAATTCCTGAGGGGAAATTTTCAGATGGGATTTATTTGACACCGACAGTGCCTAAGGCTGCCTGTTCCTCTATACCTTAGCAACATTGGATATTATCTTTTCTTCTTTTATCTTTGCTATAGACCTAAAGCTTTTTATAACTAACAACAATGAGAAGAACAGAGTCTTTCCCTCCCTTCACAGGTGGATTCAAAAGGACATTTCCTAAGAGGTAAAAGGAAATTACGTTTGCTATGAGGAATTACCGTTTATATAGTGCCTCATTCTTGGAGCTGATTTGCATTTACACACACACAGAAATTTGACAGTAGGAACAATTTTGCTTGTCCTTCCTGGAAGCTTGTGTTCTTTTGTTCCTGGCCTAGCCTGGTGACCTAGAATCAGGTGGTTCCTCTTTTGAAAAAGAATGGGGGGTCTTTTTTTTTTAAGTTTACTTATTTATTTTGAGAGAGAGAAAGAGAGAGACATGAGCAGAGGAGGAGCAGAGAGAGAGAGAGAGAGGGAAAGACAAAATTCCAAGCAGTCTCCAAGCTGTCCGTGCAGAGCCCAATGTGGGGTCTTTTTTTTTTTTAACCTTTATCTTTGAGGGATACAGAGAGCAGAAGTGGGGGAGGGGCATAGAGAGAGGGAGACACAGAAGCTGAAGCAGGCTCTAGGCTCCGAGATGTCAGCACAGAACCCAACACGGGGCTTGAACCCACGAACTGTGAGATCATGACCTGAGCTGAATTTGGATGCTTAACCGACTGAGCCACACAGGTCCCCCGTTGGGGTCTTAATCCATGAACCATGAGATCATGACCTGAGCCAAAATCAAGTCAGACCCTTAACTGACTGAACCACCCAGGTGCCCCAGTCCCTCTTAAGACAGATTAGATTTTTGGTGTTTCTGAATCACTTGAGAGGACTTAGAAAAAATATGAAAATTTCTATCCATCCCTCCCCCCCATTTCCCATTTGATTCAGGAGGTCCTACATGGGATGTTTCTGTGTCTTTTGGTTCTCAAGCATGAAAAGTGGAGGTAGTTATACTCCTAAGTTCAGCACATAGCCTTCTTAATCCACGGAGAGCCATTTTCCTGTTTTATTCACTGGTTCTCTTTCATTCCCAGAGCTATCAGCAACCCCCTCCTCACTCTAAGCAGCCATGCCAATGTATTGGATATATCTCCTAGAATTTTAAAGTGTCTTTGGAAAATATGTCATGAGATTCTGTATGAATTTATATATAAATTATGCATACTAAATAAAAATATATTTAATTTTTAATATATTATATATTGTGCATATATTATATATAATATTTATTATATTATATTATATTGTATATATATAGTGTGTGTGTGTGTGTGTGTGTATTTCTGTTTCTTACTTTTTTTCTTAGCACTCTATTTTTAAGATCTATCCCGATTGCTGTGGGTACATCCCACAGACTCTGTTGCTGCTCACTGCTGATCGGTGTATCCCCAAATACTGCCCTCACTTTTGCTCACGCCTTCCCCCAGCGATGGGCAGGTAGCTTATGATCAACTCTGGCTCCTGCTACCACAAATCAGGCTGCAGGGAATAAGTGTATACAAGTTCTGAGTGAGAACTTCTTCGGGTTTTATGCTCAGGAGTTTGATTGTTAGGGTCGAGCAGTTTTGCTTTGCTTCGTTTCTTTAACTTCTTTCTGACCATGACAGTTTTCAAAAATACACAAAAGTACAGACAATGGTGTAATGAACCCTCATACGGCCATCTGCCAAACTTTTGAATTATGAATATTTTCTCTGCTTTCGTTCTCCTTTGTTTTTTGCACTATTTTACAGAAAATCCCTGACTTTATGCCATTTTATTCTAAAGATTTCCATATGAAGCCATAGGAAGGGAAAATAATTTTTCCTCATCCCCTCTAGGTTTTTGGCTGAGACCCCCATAATAAAAAGATTAACAGGAAAGAAAGATTTAATTTTGTATGTATGGGAGCCCCATAAAAATATGAAACTTGAAGAAACGACCGGAGCAGAAAGCTGCCTTAGAGACAAAGAAACGATACATCTGTGAAGAGGTGACAAGACAAAGGAGTCTGGGCTTTGTATAAGCTATTGGCAAAGAGCTAACAAGATTTGTTTATACAGAGTCTTCTCGGCTCTAAATGTCCCATCTCTAATTATGTAAAGTCCTTCTACCTCCCTCCCTGGTGCAGGGAGGAGACCTTTCACATGGGAGATTTATCTCCTGCTTTCAAGGGGACTAAGGAGGGTCAGAGTGCTCTTACAATGACTGTTCCCCAAGGACCTCTAATTCAAGACAATCAGTCTGCTAAAGTGGCATATTTCAGGGTGGATATTCTGCGCCCCTTCACATCTCTAATGCATACAGACATTAATGTAAATCAACCCCAATATCAGTATCACAGAATACCACCAGAATGAACAATATTTCCTTGGGAGCATCTTTTTTAGTTTTTAAAGCTTTATTGAGGAATAATTGCCAAATAAAAATTGTATGTATTTAAGGTGTAAAATGTGATGATTTGCTATACGTATACATTGTGAAATGATAATCAAATCCAATTAATTAACCTTTTGGTGGGGAACCGCCAGGCACATCACATTTAATAAAATGCTGATGCTTTTTCTCTTGTTAATCGGTCTTTTGCAAGTTTAATCTGCAACACCC